TATCTTGCACTTAAAGCGGATGGTGGGGGAATTGGATGATAGACCCATTAGATCCCATGGTTCCGTCGTCCCGGGCCATCGTGGTCCCTGGTCTACTTAGTCAGGAGGAAGGTTAAGTCGAACCAACCTGAAAGAAGGATCCTTGTCGGCAAGCGCATGGGTTTTGCTTCGTCCAAGGGACCTTGTAGACCTGGGGTGAAATATTTGTCTAAGGGACAAATTTGAAAATCCACCTTAATCTAACAGGGGCTTTGTGCCCTATTCGATCATATCCTTTGATTTATATCGTCAAGATTTAGTGCCAATAAGGCGTATTGTCTCTGGCCATAAACCGGTATTTTGTGTGCCATTTAGCGGCAAAACCACTCGGTCAGAGGGCCCCGGGTCATAACCGTTTAATCCTGCAGTGCTCATTTGCGGCAGACCGCCGTTAGAGGACACGTACCAGTCCCTACTAAAGCAGGAGAATGTTGAGAATGGATCCTAGTGATATTTTTACTAGGCATTTGGCTCTTTGTGAGCTGAAGTAAATTTAATTTGTCGCGCCTCGACAAAACTGTTGCGGAGGTAAATGGATGAGCGCGTTTAGTGCTTTGATGTGGTGTGGATTTCGAGAGTAAACAGTACTTGGAATTTTAAGATTTTGAGTGGCATTTTGGAGTTTTTAGAATATTGAAGGACTTTTGGAAGACATTTTTGAAAAGTATTTGTGAAGACCTCCGGTTGAATTTGCATTCAACACGGCCACAATCGTGTGGGGTGTAACTTGGGTGGGGTCATTTCCCATTTTTGAATTGAACCTTTGTCGACTCGAACCAGGCGGTTGTCGAGGATCAGATTTTCTTTGTAGGCTTTGTGCCCTTTGTTTCATGAATTTTCTTTGTGAAAGCCTTGAAGGCCAAATATGAATGTACAAAAAAATCATTTCTGGTCAACTTTCATGACGCATATTTTTAATCCGATATCTCGAACCTATCTACTCTTCATTTAATCCACTTTAGAGGATCTGGTTTCATAACGGCTTTACGCCTTTGTTTTGATTTTTCTTGATTGTAAGCCTTGAAAGGCCTAAATGAATGTATTGAAACAAATACATCATCCCACAACCATGGTTATTTGTTAAAAGGTTTAAACCCTGTCGACTTCTATTGATCCAGTATAGAAGGAATCGGGTTCGAACTAGAATTCATTTAATCGACCCGCGCCAACATCCTCTAGGCGTTCAGCGTGTGTACCAATAACACGCTCACACAGGGCCATTGTGGTGATTTTTATATTGATATTTAAGATTATATCCACCATTGTGTAACTATATGTATTACAAACTAATAGTGCATGTGCAGGGGGTAACTTTGAAATATTTGTAGTTGTGGTAGGTAACAGGCTATTTGAGTTGCGCACAACTTTTCATTTGAGGCGCTTTGTACAGCTTCTGTCCGCTAAGCACGAGTATGCGGAATCCGATGCATTGGAATTTTGATGTTGATCACCTTTCTCAAATCATCGGTGGGAGAGTCTTTCTGGACTTTGGAGTCATATGACCCTGCTGGTTTGGGGGATACTCATTTAGGATCTTCAGTTAGCAGAATTTGTTATGTCCGGTATTTTTGGTACCAGAGCTGTTTTCTTCTTAAATATAGAACTAAGAAGAGACTTGGACAACACCAAGAGTTGGTTTCTACTTTGTAAGTCCTTCCTTTTCTGATTTTGCCAGGGAGTGTACCTTTTGTACATCCGAGTCGCCCTTGTACCCGAAAAGTTTGAAGATCTTGATCAAACGATGTCGGTGGTGATATATACTTGTGGCCCACAGTGTTCGTTGTACCTACGATAACCCACTATTGTTTATGCCACAAGTGACTTGTATATATTTGCGGAGAACCCGTTGTATTCCACTACGAGCTCCTGGAACTGTTCGTTAGGAGACCCATTGTTGCTACATCATGCCACCTTCACAATCTCAGGTGGTTTGTTAATTGTACTTTTGTTAACAGGGGACGGCTCCTTCATTGTTTGTCCGCAGTATGTGCATCTCAATCAATAGACACATGCAGTGCATTGTCTTAGGTTTTCATGCATGAGGTCTTATAACGTGTTTTGTGACACTTTGACCGTGAACGAGTGCTCTTGGTTGAATTTGAATTTCCCGTGTATGATCCGAGTTTTGTTTCTTGCAATTGTTTGAGTCCAGGTTAAGTCGTCATGTTAGAGACCGGGTCATCCGAGTCACCCACTCCCCCACTTGATGTTGTATATGGCACAATTAAAGAACGATTTAAGTCTTTGATCGGATCAAGTGCAATTTTAATCTGATTCCTTGTTCCCTCTTTGATTTCTGACTCCATTCAAGCTCAAGTTTTGTGGTTCATTCGAGTACTCGTTCGAATTCAAAATAAAATTGTTCGCAGGAGTCCTCTGAAGATCTTTGCCAAGTTCATTTTTTCTTGGTTCCAAAGATGATTTGAATTTTTTATCTCAAATTGGAATTTTAATTTTCATTTGGGTTGATCTTTAGGAAACCATTTAGATTTTGTTCTGAAATTGGTCACAGTCCACTGTTCATCTGTACATGTTTTTTTTCCCCCCCCCTTCTTGTTCCCCATTTTAAAGGTTTTTTTTTTCCCCAAAGTTATCTGTGCACTTCTGTTCAAGTGCAGGCTTTTGTATTGTTGGCTCAAGAAGGGGTCCTTTCAATATTACTAAGTCTTTGTACATTTCAATTGAAAATTTGGCAGCACCCGACATATCCTCCGTTTTGGGGAAATAGGGGAGCTGGCCTTCCCACCGAGGCGGCTGAGCTGAGAGCGGGTAGGGCAGGTGGTCTGGTAGACATCGCGGCCGTAGGAATTTCAATCCCACCAACGCTACAAGCAAGCGTGTATGGGGCCTCAGTAGTACCCGGTCAAGAATAGTCAGTGACTCTCTCACCACGTCTACAGAGAGTCATGTATAAGGGCCTCACCCACCGTCGTCCGTATGCTCGCACCGGGCTCCTCCTACCGGTGCTACAGGAGCGCGTATAGGCTGGTTTCTCCGGCCGCGCAAACGTCGAAAAAATGGGATTTTAGGCGATTAAACCACCTCGTCGTAGCTTACGCATCGGGCTCCCTCCTACCGTGTTACAAGAGCGCGTGATAGGTGGTTTCTCCCGGTCATCCGCTAACGCGAGAAATGAGGAATCTAGTTTTAAGGAATTATACTTACATAGCAGTGTCCCATTGCGGTGTCGGTGTCGGGTGCGAGACCGTCCCACCACGCTTACAAGAGCGTGTATAGGGCTTACCCGCCTCGTCGTATGCTTTCGCACTGGGCTGCCCTCCTACGTGCTAAAAGAGGCTGCGTATAGGTGGTTCTCCGGTCCCGCTGCAAACGTTCGATGAACAGGGATTGAAGTTATAAAATGTATACTCTTGAGCGTCCGGCGGAGGTGGCCTCGTGGATTCGAGGGCAAAAGGGTTTTTCTTCTTCTTTTTTGTTGGAATTAATGTAATTTAATAATTAATTATTAATTATAATCATATTTAATTAATTATATTTACTTATAATAATTAAAATTAACTAATT